GTTTTGATCTTCTTATGCTAGGAATCTCCTTCTCCTTCCTTCCCAAGCCTAGAACAACTTTTTGGAGGGTCTCTGGGTGATTTACGTCTAATCTAGGTATTTTAGAAAGAAGGAGAAAATCAGATTTCACGTTATTTACATTCTGCCTCGCCTATCCTGCCTTGACGCCAGCTTACCTCGACGTGACGCCGCCGCCCTAGCGGCATCTGGCCCACCCAGTATTTCTTGAAGTTCCACTTTTCCTAATTAACAACGGTTCGGGCATTTTGTGTTGAAAACCGCATTTTATTTTAATCTTTGGAGGGAATACATGTCTCTAAATTGGGGAAATCTTTCAAAGTTATGACCTAATTAGGTTTTAGTTAATCATTAATCAAATATTCACAATTAGGGGGTTTAGGATTTAGATAAAAATTGATTCAATTCGAAAATTTGAATCAAACTAACTTTTATTTGGTTTTACATTTTTAAAAATCAATAATATTTTATTGTATTTTTTATTTTGTTAACATTTTTTTGAAGAAATAATCTAAGTGAACTGACAAATTATATAGATATATTTTTTATAATTATATATACATTAGTCTCTTGACACGTGCGTTGCACGTGTATCCCAAGTTATTTTGTACAATATTTTATATAATCATCTAAAATTATTACAACACGTATTGAGTAATAAAAGACAAAATTAAAAAAAAGTTCTACGAATGTGATACTTTTCTAGCTATTTGATAGTCAAGTTCAAAATATATGAAAATGATATCTGACAATTGAACAAAAATACTTTAATGTTCATGCTCGTGACAACACTACACCACTACAATACATATGATTATATACTACATTAAAATAAATAAAGCAAAAAAAGAAATTGAAAATGAAAATTGTATAGGAAATAATCGATATTCTAAATTATAGATCTTAATTATTAGATAGATAAAAACAAGAACCAAAATAAAAAATAAGCCTATAATCTAAAGATATTGTACTTACATAGCAAGTGAGACTGATGAAAATCAGAGAAAGCTAATAGCTACATCAAATATAAACTCATGATTTATAAGAATATACAGAGACATAAAGTTTGTATTCAATTAATTTTATTATTTTTATTACAATATATATTTTCATTTTTTGTATAAATTATTGTAAGAGTAATTTTAAGTGAAGTAAAAAAATTGTGTGTATATATATATATGCATTTATATGTTTATTCATAACTATATAACAATAGTGTTAAATAGAATGTGATAATATTTATTACAATTAATGTATATTTACATTTTTGTCCATAAATATTATGAGTTTGTAAGGACATTTTGATTTTTAACTTGAGGGTTTTCTACTTTTAATTGCACGTGTAACCCATATTATTATTTTAAAACTGTTCATTTATAGTTATAATGTTATTATACATATTTTAGAAGTTAATTGAGCTATATATTAGAAGTTGAAGAAGTATGAAAATTTAGCATAATTACATATTCTTAAATCATTAGGAATATGTTCCTCTTAATTAAGATATACAATATAATGTACTTCTATATCTCTTAAAAGTTATTGTGAGACTTAACAATTTCATTTGATTGGATTGGTAATATTTCTAGGAGAGACCATGCAACTAAATTGGAAACTTAAATTGGAGAATATAAGGAATATATAAAACAACCATTTGGTGCTAAACCCAAGCTATCACCAAAATATTGTCACATAGATGTGTGACGTCAAATAGATTTCTTAGTTTGTAGTTACCTTCTTCTGGAGTCGGTGCTAATCTATTCAAGTGAGCTCCTCTCTAAGACTATTCCATCAAGAACAACTACAAAGATAGTGTGAGACCTACGACTTAATTACTATTTTTTTAATCAAAAGTTTCAATTTCTGTGTAGACGTCTTCATCCTTCATGCAACATATCTTCAAGCATATCTAATTTTAATACAAAAAATTGTCATTTCATAATCTAATCCAAATCTTCTCTATTAAAGCACAAAATTACAAAAGGAAAAACTTTTGACAAACAATTCAAGAGATTATCATCAAAAGCCTATCAAAAGAAAAAAAAATTGCAGCCCAACAAATCTATTATAAAATACAAAGCCAGAAAATAAAGCACAAATATATACAGAATAAAAAGGGACTTTCATCAAATTAACTATATGAAATATTACAAAAAAGTATGTTGTCACGATCCAAACCATCGTGATTGACACCCACACTAATCATCCGGTGGAAAAATCATTAATATTAATTAGCTAACCAAAGAACCAAACTACTAAGGCATTTAAAGATATGAAAGTAGGTTTAAGTACTAAGGAAAAGATAGGGAGTTCCGATAAACTCCAACAAAAGTCTAACAACCAAACTAACATTGCGGAAATAACGCCTAGAACCTGAAAGTCAATGTACCAAAACATCTAAAGTTCAACCATAAGTCTAGACAAGAAGGGTACAACCCCAAACTAAATATAAGACTAACTAAAGTACTAGTCTAAGTCTGAAATGTGGACATAGACAGAAAGGAGAACACATGGAAGCCCGGAAGAACTGGTTCACCCTTGAATTCGAACGATCACTGATCTTCTAAGCAAGGTCTGTCATTAGCCGCCTGAAGATGTCGTGTACTCAACAAAGAAAGAGCAAGTGCAGTATCAGTACACAACCACAGTGTACTGGTAGGATCACGCGGCTATCCCACTAAGTGCAACATGCATAATCTATTACAATATAATAAATAACATGCATACACCGAACATATACAATATCAATATCATTTACGAACAACGTACAATTTCACAATTCTCAAGATATACAGCTATGTCAAGTCAATGGTCCTCTCATGGAACCCAAACCCAAATTGTTAACATACCAGTACGTGGTATTCGATCCAATGTTTATGCCGTAACGTGGCAATCGATCCAAGTTAGTCTGTCAGAACGCAACACCTGATCCATTCAACAAGCCACAATCACAATCGCAAGCACATTCTCATAATCATACAATCAAGTCATGATTCATGACATTCATCATTCATCTATCCTTATTACAATTAGTGTGATCAATAATGCAACATCCGCATCAATACATATAGTATAATGAAGCAAGAACAAACATACATCACAAAACATGAAATCACAACCATCACCTACCTTGAAACAAGCTTGAAATCCCTTAAGAAAAACGATCCTTCCCTTTTCGAATTCTTTCCGCTTGTTCTTGGTCTAGAAACAATCAATATAATGCTAGGATCAATAAACAACACCTAATTACCCGGATTATATCAATAATATCAATCCTAGGTCAAACCCTTAATCCTCACACCCATATTAGGGCTTTTTCCCACCATAATTTCCAGATCAAAACCCTCTCCCATCGATAATTACCTATTCGAATACGTTCTACGGATCGCAAAACGGATTCAGGGAGTTAAAACCTTACCTTTAGCCTTAAGAATGGTGAAAAACTGTCAAGAAAGCATCTGGGGTCGTCTCCTAGCTCTCGAAGTCGAAAAGTGCAGAATAAAACATTTTCGGGGTTTATTTTCGACTTAAATCGCGACTGTCCCGCTATGGCGGCCCCCAGCCCGCCACAACGGCCCCGCCTTGGCGGGAATAATCCCTCCTTAGCGGTTTGCACGAAACCAGTGAGTCGATTTAAGAATTCCAAACTCCCATTCACAACACACCTTCATCCCATGACACTCAGAAAATACACGTTTACGCTAAGATCAATTTCGGGAGTTCTACTCTCCCGAATTCAGTTCCGTAAAGTCATACGGGTTCCTTAACGTTTTAGCTATCTACTCATGTGATCACATTCACAATTAGATCACCCAATTGTTACCAGATTTTCTAGACTTTAATGACTTCGATTTCGTCCAAATCTGGACTAGGTTGGAAAATTCCTAGTTACTACGAAAAAGTTTTTCGGCCCAAAAATTTTCTCCGTTGACTTTTCTATAACGACGGGAATAGGTCGTTACATATGTAAAACACGCATAATATTACAACTCATTATCCTAAAAGAACTATCATCATATAAACCCGAAAAATAACTAAGAATATCATACAAAATTTATGTGAGTTATTGCCGACATGTTTCTCTACCCAAATAAAGGCTCATACCATTATCAAAACAATAACGTGTTTTGCCCCCGACGCTTTCATCACGAAATAATATAATGCTTGAACTCAAAAATCAATAGTATTCAGTAATTGAAACCTAAAATTAAAGGAGAAAATATATAGGTGATGATGCATGCTGATGAGAAAACTTTTAAGAGCGGTATAAGCTGTGAATATAGAACTAATGAAAAACCTTTACTTGATTTGATAGACCGTGTGATAATGTTATTGAATATATATACTCTTTTTTAGTGCAAATTTATAGAATGTTGTAAAGAATGTGAAAAGGTTATTACTATGAAAGATGAGAGAAACAGAACATTAAGATTGAAATAATTACATGTCAAAACTAAGCAATTGAAAGATGTATTAAATATTTTTGGAATACGAAGCAATTTTTTACTTTCAAATTCAATGTACACAGTGAAAGGTTTTTTGTTTACAATTTTTTTTTACTGTACTTTTATTAGGTGAAGAACAAATTAAATTTGTTATCAATGATTTATGGGTATTTCGTAAACAATAATAACAATAATAATAATAAATATTAAATAATAGTATGAGATTTAGTATAATATGATATGATAACTATCTAATAGTTATTGATTAATTAGATATTTATATATTTTAATTTAGTATAGGGATAAAATGGTAATTCAACTTTTCACTTTACAGGTTCCCACTTTTATATATATATATAATATATATATATATATATATATATATATATGATGATGATGATAGATGAGGATGATTTTTATATAAACTGTGATGCAAATCATGCTATGCACTGTGAATAGTCTATAAGAAATAATTGAAGATGTAATATTGTTGTGACTTTGTTTATAGGGGAGAAAGAAAGTCTAATAATAATATCCTGAACAAGCATACATTTTTATTGAAAAAGATGCAATACAAGGGGGAAAGTTCAAGCTTAATGCTTATGGCTCTTAAGTAATTGCTTGAACCAATAGGCTGACATTTTCGGATATCGCTTAAGTGTTGTGTAATCAACATAGACAATACCAAATCTAGAAGTATAACCAGATCTCCATTCAAAGTTGTCTAGCAAAGACCACGCGAAGTAGCCTATGACATTAGCTCCTTCATCGATAGCCTTCTTTAGTTCGGCCAAGTAACTTCTGTAGTAATCAATCCTTTTCGTGTCATGCAATGCGTCTGAAAGAGAAATATTCCCTGCATAATCCATACCTGAGATTCATCTATCGGTAAGTCCTGAGAGTGATTTTTAAGTTGGTTTGAAAATTCAAACAAGTTTTAGAAGTTTACCATTCTCTGATAGAAGGATGGTAGGATTTCCATAGTGTTCTTTTACATAGTTGACAGCTTTGTAAAGGCCCCAAGGCACAATGTAGAGCCAATAGGAGTGTGCCTATAGGCATTAAACGGAATTAGCTAAAGGTTAAGATGTAGTAGTTAGTACTTTTTAGGTACAAAAGTACCAACTCCAATGTGCTTACCCTAGGACCAATTGGTACTCCATTGCGATCATCTGCATCGGCAAAAAAGAAAAAAATTTGAATCGACAGAACTTAAATCTTTAAAAAAATGACATGAACAACATTTATGTGAAAACCTGATGAGTTTTAAGGGCATAGCAGAAAATAAAGAAGTAAATCTTACTAGCAAATCCACAGTTTTGATCCTGCTGGTAGGCAAGGGCTTTTAGTTTGGATAGATGATCATATGCATAAAAGGTAGTATAGTGGTTTATGCCCACATAATCAATTGATCCTTTCACCATCTTAATCTCATCTGTTGTGAATTTAGGTAACCGATCTCCAACAATATTTTGCATTGTTTTCGGGTACTCTCCATATACTAGAGGATGCAAAAACCTGCAAGTTAACTGCTTAAGGAAACCAAACATCACTAAGAACCGACCACTCTATTAAGTAAGTAATGTACCATCCCAATTCAAAGTCTCTTGCTCTTTGAGCTGCATAATTGTCAGCTTTCGATCTAGTCAGTGGTTCGTACCAGACAAAATCCAAGATAATTCCGAATTTTCCCTTCTGCTTCTCCTGTCATTGCATTTAGTAATGACAGGCTAATATTTAGTGAATAAACAAGAAAAGAAAAGGATATATAATCCTACTTGATAGTTTTCGCGATATCTATGAGCTGCAGCAGCATGGCTCAAGATCAGATTATGTGCAACAATATAAGGCTCAGTTGCAGAGTCCCCTGCTGTACAGTTACCAAATGCTTTAGAGCACCTTCCAGGTGCAAAGAATCCAGTATCATATCCTAGATCAGCAACAACTCTTGGTTCATTAAATGAGAACCAATTCTTCACTCTATCTCCATATGTCTTGAAGCAAAATTCTGCATAATCAGCAAAATCTTTCCTACAAGATTTATATATCAAATCACTTGCTTTCCGAACAAAAGAGTCACCAAAACTATAATTTGGGATAAATTTTCTTCAAATACTTACACGACTTCACGACTTAACCATCCCTTGTACCTATTCTGAAGTGCTTGAGGTAAATCGTAGTGATTAAGATTAACATACGGGGCAATGCCTGCAAAAAATATATGTTCATCAAGTTTTCCAGTTTACATATTAAGCAAGTTCAGTAAATTTACCTCTTTTGAGCATATAGTTAATCAACTTGTTGTAATAAGTAACACCCTTCCAGTTAATTTTTCCAGTTCCATCTACATTGCAAAAGTGTGACACACCATTTATTTTATTATTTATATAATAGGCTAAAGTATTTTAAAGTTGAGAAGTGGAAAAAAGAAAGGAAATGATCAAATTACTTGGGAAAATCCTGGACCATGAAATTGAGAAACGGTAAGCATCAAAGTTCAGCTTCACCATTAGATCAATATCTTCCTGTACCCATAAAATACGATTTGAATCATTTTTCATGTCATAAAATCATAATTCTAAATAAGTCTAGGGTTTATTAGAAATAACATATCTAACTCTAAGGTATTGATTAGGTCGCGTATTGTACTCTATCCTTCCTAGATCCCAATTTGTGTGATTACACTAGATAAAGGCGTTCACGGGTCGATTTGGATCGGTTATTGATCAGAATCAAAATCAAATCAATTTAATTCTAATCATTTTGTCTATCAATATGGTTGGTGATGGTTAAAAGAGACTTTCACTCAAAGACAATTTATGGAATTGGTTGTTATCAGTTTCAATTTGGTTTGGTTTGGTTTGATTATTCGGTATTTAATCATAAACAAAAATTTTAAAAAAATGATCCATTCAAGAGAGGGGAAGAAACAACGATTCATTCCGAACGAAAAATGGCTAGAAAGACTAACGTTACAGAACTTTTTGATCACTGAATTTACTGTGAATAAAGCTTCAAAATTCACAATTTTTCCCTAGAAAGAAGAGACGATGACATTCCTTGTCCCACCAAGAATTGTCATACAGACTCATATACATGAAACCAATAAGATAAATATTCTCGTCTTAGACGTTTTTTGGTTTCATAAATAAATTATAAATAAAATTTGATGAAGACATATATAAGATATTCAAAATTGTTTATAAAAATAATATGTTATGCATGTATAATAATAAAATGTAAGTATATAATTTTTTCGATGTTGTTTGATTATTTCTTTGATTTTTTTTTAACAAAATCAAAACAAATCAAATACTATCAATTTTTAAAAATCTAAAATCAAATCAAACCCAAACTCAAGTAAAATCGGTTTGGTTAGATTTTTCGAAGGGCTTTAGGGAGAGACTCTCTTTCTTTCTCAGATTCAAATGTGGGACCGGTTTATTCAAACCATGAATACCTCTGTCATTGGATATGTTATTATTGTTATTATTGTGATTATTGTAAAATTATACATCTAACCCGGGTACAATATTCCATTATTAATTAATTAGTTAACTAGGTAATTCTACTTGAGTTAAATGATATTTTTGACTTGATCATCATATTGGATTCTCAATTCTTGTATAATTATGTTGTCACATCCCAAAAAAGAGTAATATAGTCCTAATCATTTTGTCTATCAATATGGTTGGTGATGGTTAAAAGAGACTTTCACCCAAAGACAATTTTTGTGTTGGTTTTAATTGAGACACTCTGAATTATTTAATATACTTCCACACCATCAGCAATAGTAGCTTATTTGATTTGCTTTATAATTTACTCAATCTACATGCCAACTCTTTCATTTTAAATTTATTTCAATAATAAGAATATTTTTATCTCAACTTCTTTATTCTTGTATTTCTTTTATTTTAAAAAAAAATTAAAATTATTTCGTAAAATATATTTTTTAGTCAAGAATCTATCAAAAACAACTCTCTACGATCTGTGTACATCCCAATCCCCCCGAAATCTCATTTTTGGGTAATACTAAGTAGGTTATTGTTGTAAGAATGGTATTTTTCTTTCTTTTTTTATTTACTTTAAACTTTATAGTATTTAAAACCACAAGTTTTAAGAGTACTTTAATATGTATTAAAGTCTTTTTCGCCTTTTTAAATTAGTATCTAGTCAAATATGGCTATATGAGTTAAATAAAACATAAAAAGTAAGAGCATAAACTTTTATATATTATCTTTAAAAAATAAACCATATAAGACGTAAAGCTTTTTCTTTTTCTATGTCTCGCAACCAAGCGACAATTGACCATTGAAGGTAGCTAGTGTGAAATAGATAGGATCGACCACTCTTAATTAGATGTTTCAATCTGATTTGATCCCTAAAAATGTAAAAACTCATGTAGGGATTGGTTCCTCCTTTAATAAATTAGTGCTAGGGTAAATCTAAATAAGTTGTGTGACTAGATTCTAAATACCAAAACTCTTTTTTCAGAAGCTAAAAACATAATTCTTTTCAAAAATATATTTTTGAGAAAAAATACACTTTGAAACACCTTCAAAAAGATGATCAAACACTAATTATATTCTTGTTTAAAAGTTTTTTTTTATATTTATTAGTCAAACAAATTATTTCTCACCAAAAATGTTTTTACATTTTTCAAAACAAGTTCAAACTTTAGTCAAACTTGCTAGTAATATTCAGCTTACTTTATAGTGGTGGTACTGATCCGCAGAGACCTCTCCACTTGCATTATTTGGCTCACGTCCTGTTTTAACACCAAGAAAAGAGCTCATACATGGATCGAAATTGTCCAAAAAAGAATGTTCTAGTTTGACTTAATGATACGGAATTTAAGAAAATAAAGAAAATTTTCAATCTTGTGATTTTAAATTAAAGTTATGTCAAATGTACAAAAATGTTATTTAATCTTGTAGCCTTAAACATGTCACGTGGAAACTAAAGTTGAAATTAAACCGTTACTAAAAAATGAAAGGGTGGTTCTTTTCTAAACAGACTAAAAAGAAAAGTAGATCATTCTGTAATAACAATAATTTATATGTACCGGGCTGTTTGATGAAAGTGTCCCAAACACTAGGTCCACGACCATCCTTGCTAGCCGCACCTTCTACTTGATATGCAGAAGTTGATGTACCAAACACAAAACTCTTCGGAAAACTCTCTCTATTCAATCCTCCGGTGTCAAAAACCGCCGTCACATTATCGCTCTGAATAGCCATTAAAGTGGTTAATATTACAGCAAGAAGTAAAAACAACGATTTGATCATTTTCTCAATTGATGAAAAGCAGTAGCTAGTGAGTGGAATGGAGGATATATATATAGTGGGAGGCAATGCTATTTATGGAATAAATTAGATAATGTTTATGTGAGTGGTAAGACCAAGAGGGACATATTGCTCGTTACAAACGTGTGCAAACTTATCTATTATTTTTATTATAATATAAATAAAAGTTTATCTTGATTACTTAGTCCACTTTCTAGTCTATTATCTAGTGATCATTTACAAACTCTAATTACTTTTATCATCATACATAATTTAATTAAGAGAGAGTGTAGTTAAGAAAACTAGTAAAATGTGTGTCTAGTTAATTGAATTTACAAAATAAGAGAATATTGGAAATTATGTATTTAATATAATTATTTTTGTATAGATGGATAAGAAATAAGTTATATATATTGTTGTATTAATTTTCATATAACTTATTCAATGTTTAGTAGGTAGAAGGAAATAAGTTATTCATGTATAAAATTAATATGATGTTTGATTGACAATTTAATTAGAACATGCATAACTAATACATATATAAGTTAAAAGGGAAACTATGTATTAATATATTGAAATTGATGGGATATGTTTAATGCATGCATTAGTATGATTAAAAATAATTTGCCCCTCAAAACTTTTTCCACATCTTTTCATCATATTTATGGTGAATATGTTTGTAAATAAATATTGTATTTTAGAAATTATGTAATGCATGTTATTTTTATTACATCGAATGAAACATTGTATAAGAAATAATCTGCATAATTAATGCAAGAATAATGAATACAAGCATTACTAATATCAGCAATATAATACCAATACAACATATTCAACATTATTCTTATATATTATATCAAACGACCCGTAAGTATATATAATATATCAAAAGATGAAAATGGTAGAACACAATGATAAAAGATGAGAGTTTTTTTTATTCTCAAGTGTTCAATTGTGGGTGCAATGTGAACTCTTACCTCTATTTATAGATTGCATAGAAGCATACAAATGATTGTCATAAACATGACATTAACTATGGACGTTATAGTAGAAGTTCATGGATTGACATAGTAAATTTACCATTTGACCCCTATTAATTATGAAGTGGATGAATTAAAAACTTAAGATTTTCAACAAGTTTACCTTTTTCAAAGTAATTAATTGAGGGTATAATAGGTAAAAATATTTTGTCTTTTCTTGATTTGTCAAAATTGACAAGTAATTAGGGACAACTAAAAAGAAAAAGTGGACAAGTAATTAGGGACAAAGGGAGTATCACTCTACTTGGATGTACGTGCCTTGATAGATAATGTGTTTCATTAAAAACTTACTAAAAAAATTATGGCCAAGGAAAAAGAGCACACAAATCTTTAATACACATTGTTTGTTGCCTTGTTAAATATCTTGTCAAGAAAACTCAAGGGGACAAACCTAGTTAAGAAAAAAAGAGTGCAACACGTATTTTATCCCTTCCAATGCAAACTTTCTTGAGATTAATTGGCATGGGGAAAACCACCAAAACTTAAATTTGAACAATAGCGACTTAATTTCTTTTTGATTTAATTTTTAGGGTTAGGGTTAGAAAAAGTGGGAAAAAGTGGGGTATGGTTGTGGGGTCATGGACCATTTTAACATTTTTAGAAATTTGGGTATAAAATAGATGTTTATAAAAATACAACCAAGCCATTTCTATATTTATTAAATATTCTATTTTTTTTAAAAGTCATTTATTTATTCAATAATTTTCCTCTCTCTTCTCAACCCTCTTCTTTCCTATTTTCTTGAGTACCTTAAAGATTTGAAATATTTTTTTCTCCAATCTTCTTCCCAAGTCGAAACAATTCATCCTCTTGTGCTCAGGTAAGTTCATTTTTATTTTTTGAACAGTTTTTGCTCCGTTTTACTATTTTTTTTTTGTTGCATTTTTGTTTGGTGGATTTTGAATTTTTACAAAAATTCAATTGTTCTTGATTAAATTTGTCAAAATTTGATATGTTTTGAATTCATGTTCTTGATTCTGCATCTCTAATTGCGTTTTACTTTGGATAATGATTAGAAATTTTTTGAACTTTTATGTTTATATTATATATCGATTTTGATTTTTTTTCTACGTTTTAGTAGACATTAATGGTGTTCTGGTTGTTGTCTTTTGCATTCTTCCTTTCTAGAATTACTGCTTCTTGTTTTGCATGTTTGATAGAGTACTTTTTTGTTTCAGTTAATAGACTAGTGGTCGATAGATTGATCACTACAAATTAGTTTTTGCTTATAGATTGTAAAGTATGACTAAATATAGAAAATCATTATAGAATTTGTTTCTACTGCTTGCAGCAGTAAGAAACGTAAAACTAAAGAAGTTGATCACTTTTACAAAAATTTCTGTAAGAGTTAGAATGACGGCTTATCGTGATCACTTTAGAAAAATTTTAATTGATCAAAAGTTCTATGCTGATTCCAAGTAAATTTTGTTTTGAACGCTTGAGACATTTGCCGAAGCATTTTAAATACAATAAATAAATGATTTGTTATATGTTGTTGCGATGTACGAAGAATAAAAACAGTTACATGACATCTAGTTCTATATGAACGCTACGACAACTTGTTTCAGGTTAATGAAATTTGCTTTGATTACAGGGTTGAATTGTAAACATACTCCGTGAATAAAAAAGGAGCAAAGTCCTTCAATATTGTGAATTTTTTTATTTCAAGGTGACCAAGAACAAGAACATCACTATTGAAAGGTTGATATGCTTGATCAAATGAAGTCAATTGAGAAAGGAGCAAAAGTTGAAGTGCGCTTTTGTTTGGTTCGTGCCCTCGGTGCTGCTGGCTAGGAATTTGACGGAGAAAGCGAATTCAAACCAAATCAAAATAGTGGTTGATTAAAATTTCTTCGAAATTTAACCATTAGGAAAAGAGTCGATTGGACTAGCATAGAGCTATTTGAAGAAGAAGATTGATTCGAACAAACAGAAAAGTGGATATTTAAATTGTATTGTAGTTATTTAAAATTGAATAACATGAAGTCAATAAAATGAGGGAATTAAAACAAAGATTGCCTTTTTATATATAAAAAAAGTTAGATATTACGATTGGGTGTAATTTGAATTGTACTTTACTACCGTTGCAAAAGTGGATATTTAAATTTTGTTAATTGTACATTATAAATATAATCAATTATTTCTCATGTGGCTGGTAGATGATGGATCGTATAGAATGACATTCCATCATTTGTAAGGTATATGCTGGTTGGTGCAATGATAAACAAAATATTAGTATATAACAAAAAAAAATAACTACATAAATTATATTATATTGAGGACTATCAACTGAGTTAATTGTATATCTAAACTACACGCTTTATCAATAATATATTGTATGAATTTATAACTCTTACTAGCATATTGTCAAAAAAGAAATAATTAATTAATAAAAAATTTCGCAGCTAAATGGGCTTAAACAAATCATATGATCGTATAAGAGTCTACGTAAATTGGGAACGACGATCATAGATGTATGAGGATGGATAGTGGTTATACAATTAACATCCTCAAAATAATGTTTACTAAAGTACAAGTATGTTTTGTCAGGATTTTATTCGTTCAACCACAACTCATCCTCATACATATTTGATCGTTATCTTCAATATATGTCCACTCTTATATGATTATATGACTGGTTTAAACTTACTTAATTGTATAAATTTTAATAGTTTATTTTTTATTAATTAATTATTCTCTTTTTAAAATTCTACTAGTTATGGTCTATACATATGTATCCTAACCTAGTAAGTTTATTATGGATGAAGGTCTTAGGATAGGTTAGATTATAAGAAGTCGAGGACTAAACTAAGTATAGTCTAGCCTATACTAAGACCTTTTTCCATAATAAACTTACTAGATTATGATACACATGTAAAGACTTTAACTAGTAGAATTTTAAAAAGAGAATAGTTAACTAATAAAAAAAAATTATTGCAATTTACACAATTAAATGAGTTTAAACAAGTCATATGATTATATAAGAGTCCGTGTAAATTGGGTATAATAATAAGAGATATATGAGAATGAATTGTGGTTGAACAAATAAAATCCTTACAACATACTTGTGTTTGGTCGACATTATTGTGAGGATGTTGATTTGTATAACCACTACTCATCCTCACACATCTTGATCTAATTATCGTCCCCTATGTATGTGAACTCTTATATGATCTTATGACTTGTTTAAGCTAATTTAATCGTATGAATTTTAATAATTTATTTTTTAATTATTTATTTTCTTTTTTTATTACAATAATGGTCTCAGTACTTGTAGATGCTTAAACTATAATGAAATTCTTTGAAAACAATTCTCTGAATTTCTTTATGGTCGAGCATTATACTTAATTCCTCACCCGCAGTATCTAGACACAATCAGGGAATACACATTTCACCTTGAACCATTTATTACAATTCTTCGACGTAGCATAATCAAAAGAATTCTTCATCAACGCTTGATCTAATAACATTTTCAACTCATTCTTGCTGCTAAATGTTTGTTCTATTTGAAAATTAGTCCCATTGGAGAAGTTGTCGTTGAGTTATGATCCTGACCCACATTTTCATTGCTTTTCTTGAAATAATTTAGGATCTTTCGATTTCATTGGGATGACCATCCATATCAATGATCACCCAAATTTTTATCTTCAATCGAATCATCGTCATCGATTGTAGGGTTGGTGAGAAGAGTACCAAAGACCTCACGACAATATTTATTTTCAATATTGGCCTAGTGCGATCGGTAGTGACATCCAACATGTACAGGGACACTTGATTGTCATTTTTATGAATGTGGGATATATTTTTTCCCTTTCATTCATTAGATAACTAATCACAACTTCGCTTGGT